CCCAGGTGCGAGCACAAAGTAGCTTTGAAGAGAGCGGGGAGCTGGTTATGTTACCCAGGTGTCCAGCCGCATGCGCTTTACAGACGGGCTCTCCCCCTCGGCCTCTGTCGTGGGTCTCAGGAGACCGAGGGATGAGCTGAAGTCAGCCCGGGCGGGGTCTTCCCGCTCATTGCCTTCGTAGGAGCTGGCGTTGCTGCTGAGGCTGTCGACGGGCGAGCGGCCCGTGGGCTCGTGGCGGTTCTGGTGTGGGAAGGAGGTCAGCGGCGTGGCCGTGTTGCGCTCCCGGTTGGGCGAGACGGGCTCCGACTTGATGCTGATGTTGGGGTTGGTGTTGACAGTCAACGTGGTGGCGTGAGATAAGTGGCTTGCTTGTCTGCAGGGGAGGAAGGGTTGGAAAGGGAAGGAGAAGGGAATGGGAGGGGAGCACAAAGGAAGAGAAAGACGGAGAGAAGGTCAAAGGTGGAGACAGGGAGAGAGAGAAATGCAGGTTATTTCCATCATCTTGCATTCGAAAGCTTGTCTAATGATGCTCATAGTCTCTAGAGGTGCAGCTTGACCCTGTCTTCTGACTGACTTCGGACTAACACAGCTAGCTACCATGCTCTACCTTTATCCCAACCACGCAGTTGGTCCCATAAAAGAGATTGCCCACAAAAACCCTTGCCTCTCCCATTGTTCACAGCCTCTTTGATCACAAGCCCTTCTGCCCTGTTCTCTCGCAGCTGTTTCATTTCAAGTACAGCCAAGACAAGGAGAGGGCATGGAGTTTGCAGAGCTCCCCTGGCCAGAACACATCTCTCAAGGCCTTGAATAGGACTCTCACCGCAACACCCGTCCCCTTGGTACTTGGGGCTGGCTTTCCTGATGCAATGACCCAGTTACACCACTCCAGAGAGGCCCCCATTGCGCTGTCAAGGAGAATCAGGCAGTGAAATGTGGTGCATGAGGGATGACAGACAAGTGTCAACCACAGGAGGCCTCTAAGGATACAGGATGCTGGTGTCATAGGGATCACACCGACATCTCACCAAACCACCCAGCCAGGGAAAGGTGACAGGGACTTGGGCTGCAACCTCTTGCAGCACCTCAAGTTACTTCCTCTGCATGTCTGCCTACCCTTTGCTCATGTTCCCAACCCCAAGAAGCATCGCCGTATTGCACTCAGACCTGGGCACCAGTCCCACTCACCTGGGTGGAGGGGGAAGAATGTTCCCTGACCCGTGGCACAGACAGAGTAAATTATCCTCCACATGCATAGGTCTCTTGGAAGGAAATAAACCCCTTTCTAATTGGCTCCATTAAACTGGGCTCTTATGGACCTCTGTACAGTGCCTGGCATTGCGTGGGCAGGAATGTAGCTAAGGCCACACGTGCCGCCGTCACATAAACAATAACTGATGGGCTGCGCTAATGCGTGAGCTTTCAAGAGCTCTCTGCTAAAGTGACGCCAGGGTTTTCAATACCAGTAACTGAGGTTTTCTGATGTTTCTTTTCACATGGCTTCTGTCCCTTTGCCCCCTCCTTGCACACGCAAGATCATGCCACGTGCAGAAGCAGCTCAGAAAGGAAACCTGAAATCAAAAGGCAGTTCTCTTGACTTGTTTTGCAAAATCTTTTCTGCTTTTCTGGATGCTAAAAGTCACCTAAGATGGAGAGCTGAGAAACTTCTGCAGGGAGGAGAGATTTTTAATTGGCTGCAGAGGAAAAAACCTCTGACCATCCATCTAAGACATCACGGAGAATATTTTGCGGTATGCCGCAGCTACTCAAAGCTGGGTGCAGTACTGAGACCTTTCTGTCGTGACAGATCCAGTTCCTACCAACTGAGCTACAGAAGACTCCCCGTTTGCTGCTAGTACTACAGGGCCCAGGACACTCTGTTCTGCTTCCATCCAGGTAGACCTCAATAGCAGCCAGTGGTCTGACTCATCCTACCCTAATCCTGTGGTCTAGATGCACTTGTATCATCCTCACTGCTTCTTGCCAGTGGGAGATGTTCATAGAAGCACAGAATCATACAAAATGAAGGTGTGAAGGGACATCAGGAGGTCACATCTAGTCCAATCCCCTGCTCAAAGCAGGACCAGCCCCAACTACATTATCCCATCCAAGGCTTTGAGCTGGGCCAGGTCTTTAAAAAACTCCAAGGATGGAGACTCCACAACCTCTCTGGGTAGCCTTTTCCAGCACTTTACACTACCTTCCTAGTGAGAAAGTTTTTCCCAATATTC